GTTGAAGTCCACAAGTCTAAAAACAGCCTCACCGGGGCTAAAGCTGACCGCACGTCACTGCTTTCTGATATTCTAGTCTTGTCAGTGTGAACTGTACTGAAATAATTACATTATTATTAATTACATTAATGTCCTGGCTTTTAGTAAGGCAGACTGCCCAACTCACTACTCTTCAAATTCCTAGCTTTTGGAACTAATGATGGAATTAGAGATTCATATTTCTAGAAGCAGAATCCAATTGTAGCTATCAGGCCAGAGAATCAAGGAGGACATGTAGAGTTATGTCAAGAGTAGTTTATTGTTGTTCATTTACAGACAGAATCTTGCCAGATTAAAGCAATTATCTGCATATCTACAGATACTGTAGATATATATATATATATATATATATAGTCTGTGAATTGGTAGGGAGGAACCGTTTTAGCCCATTTCCTGCCTACCAGACACTCCAAGCTCTGCTGTTTCTTTGCCCTCTGAGAGGGAACCCCTCTCTCCTGTGATACTAGATGATGTTCTGTCACACTAGCCCTTTCCTCAAATTAAAACAGAGAACCTCCAACACTCCACCACTGTCAACATATTTTCCTGCAAGGGTTATTTACCCATAACATTCCATCAGAATCTGCCTTCCTGCAATTTTTCTCCAGTAATCTTGCCATCTGGAGAGCACCTTTTGACTCTCCTTTTCAAGTCTTTTTAGATGGCCACCATTTCACCACTCAGTCTTCTCAAGACTAAAGGTGCTCATTTCCTACCATCTTTGTTCACAGGACTGTTTTTAGTCCCTTCTTTCTTCTGGTTGCCTCTGTATAAACCAAATCCATTTTCTCTGTGTCTTTTAAAAATGTAGAGGGACACAAATTTGTGGTAGAAACCGTTCAAAGCTAACTCAACATACACTACCTGAAAAATGCCAGATTAAAAAAGAATAATGTAAGTCCTATTTCTTCTTGGCTGTATCTGTTTACATATACATTTGCTTTTTCCTGAATGGCTGTTCCTTTCTTCTTTCCACCATTAGACCCATCTGTCTAGAAATTCTTCTGAGAAATGGTTGATCTATTATCTGGTTTGCATGAAATAGTTATTGCAGTGAAACAGTTCAATCTTTGTGCTACATAATATAAGGCCTTTTCTTGAACCTTTCCCAGCAATTCAAGTTAATTCCTAGAAATAAATGAAGCAGCAGATAAATGCTCTGTACGCAGATTCCAGAAACAAGCATGCATTCAGATGAAAACTGGGTGTTACCGAGAAGACCAGATTCATGGAAATTTTGAGAAAATTGACAAAAATATCGGCTGAAGTCCTGTTTCAGTCCAATGTAATGGATAAAGCAACATCTCTTGGACAAAATGCTTGACCATGCATTGTTAAGCAAAACCCAATTTATATTCTGGGCATCCTTCCATCAAACCATCCTATTATGTGAATACACTATTTTTCTCTTACAGTATGTGCATGCTTTGTGGTCGCTTGAATTTCAAGGAATTTTCCATGTCAGTTAAAGTAAGTTGTAGCCAAACGAGAATGCAATTTTACTTTGCAACTTAGAAAAGTATATATCATGGCTATCTATGCAAATCTAAAGGGAAATGTAAAAAATGGATTGGTTAGGGACTTGCAAGATGCATGCCCTGAAGGTTTGTTGGAGATCATGAAGACAAAAATATTGATTTATTAAAGGTTAATGATCAGATCCCTTGGTTTCTAAGGAACATGGTTTTCTTACCTTACTTTATCTGGACTGCAGTTCCAACCAAAGGAAAAAAATGAATCTTTGCAGTTGAAGGCTTGATTTCCAAAGGAAGCTAGTTACCAAATTCTCCATCACTAGCAGGTTTGTGGTGACACAATATAGACAGAACAGCAGCACAGTAAGCACTTCTAGCTTTCCATCAACAAAATTCCACCCACCCAACTAAGTGATTTTGGGCTAGTCTTTAAATCCACTGAATGTGTCCCAATGGAGTGCCCAAAGCTCCTTGCAGATACCAAAAAAAGGAGTGTATGTGTCATCTGAAGGAGCTTTGATGGATGTACCAGCAAAGGCCGATTTGGGTATCTGGGTAGGCTGGGTTGTGGAAGCATCAAAACAGTGGATTTTATTCTTCACAGTTTTCATAGCTGCTCTTTTTTCATTTATAAAAATGTTTACATATTTATGCAATATATATTGAACGCACACACAAACTAAGCACTTTATTGGCATCTATACATTTTCTGATTTTTGTTTTCTTCCTCCCAGTGGATGTGAGCAAGGATTTTTTTTTTAATGCTGAAAAAAAGTAAGATGGGTTAACTGCATTCATGAAAGTCAATTTCCCATCTGGTTTGATCCAATACAAAAGTAAAAAATTTGGGCAGGTAAGTATATGAATCAGCACACAGGAGAGAGATTGGTCGCTTAATTTTTTTTAAGAGAATATCTGGGCTAAAAAAGGAGAAGATGCTCTTTAGATGAAAGAAAAGAGTTGCTTTTGATCCTCTTATAGTTATACGGAGTGAACCGTATTCAGCTAAGCTGATAAGAGTTATGATGTAGTAACAAAGTGACAATATATCCCAACTTTTTATACTGTGTGCTATATTAAAGTCAATATTTTAGCAATATTTTATTTTTATAACATCATATTGATTGATGCCAAATCTAAATGTGTATTTTGCTGCCTCTGTGGTTAGTATGAGCTACAGATTGTGAGTTCCCAGGTATCAAATTGTTCCCATTGTCAGTTTTGAATTTCATAGCACATTGTATACACTAAGAATTTACAGTCCATTGATTGTTGATTGCAAAGGAGTAGTGAATAAAAAGCAAATTAAAAAAACAAACAATAGTGGTGGATTTTATTCTGAACCAAACTGGACACTGATCTTGCTGGGGGGGGGGGGAATCTATTGATGTGGTTGCAAAGAGTCAACATCCAACTGGATGGCATATACAATCAATCAATCATTCATTTCCACCAAAGAGGACAACCTATGACCTGCACACTATCTCTCTATGTACCTCAGTCATATCTAATATGAGCTAATATTTCATTTGCTTGTTTGTTTGTTTGTTTGTTTGTTTGTTTGTTTGTTTATTTATTGTACCTCAGTCATACCTAATATGGGCTAATATTTCATTTGCTTATTTATGTATTTATTTATGTATTTATTTATGTATTTATTTATATGTCACCTTTTTCACCAGAGGTGATTTTAGGCCTTCTATAATGCATCTAAATAAATAGAAATAATAGACAATTTAAAATTCAAATAGGAATTTACAATTCAGTTAAAATAAAACTGACCCATGTGAAGAGTGAAGGAGCCAAGTGCATAGGGAGGTGTGTGTGTGTTTTTGTGTGTGTGTGAGATTCTCCACTCTATCAGCCACCTCCAAAGTGCCGCATCCCCCTTGGAGTCCCAGTCTAATTGGCAGAGCCCTGTCTTCAAGGCCTTTCAGGAGGCCAAAAGGGCAGGTGAAGATCTCACCTGGAGGGAGCAAGAGAGTCCAGAGGGCAGAACCAACAGGAGGAAAGACCAGAAGTGGATTGCCAGAGTTCAACAACAAAGGGACTGGTTTCTTTTTGTTTAAATGAATGGGATCCCTTCTCCTCCAAAATAAGAGTGGGAATGGAAGCCAAGAGGTTCGCAAAACCAATGCTTCCCTTTTCATCCTCTGCAAGTCCTTCAAATTTGGTTAACTTGCCATCAAATTTCCTATACTTGAGAGACCGCCTTCTGCCAATTACCTCCCTGCGACCAATAAGATCACATAGATTAGGCCTCCTCCATATTCCATCGGCCAGCCAATGCCGGCTGGCAACTACAAGGAGGAGGGCCTTCTCAGTAGTAGCCCCGACCCTTTGGAACGAGCTCCCCGTGGAGATTCGTACCCTCTCCACCGTCCAGGCCTTCCGCACAGCCCTTAAGAACTGGCTAGCCCGTCAGGCCTGGGGACAAGGATAGTTCCCCTCCCGAATGATGAATGTATGTTGCTTACTATTTTATTATATGTCTCTATGTCAATGTCTGTATTCCCCCTCCCTGATTTTATGTGAGCCGCCCTGAGTCCCCTCAGGGAAAAGGGCGGCCTACAAATATTAATAAAATCTCCAAAAAAATCTATTGGATCTGGGGCCAAGGACTGATGCAATTTACTTCCTTCCAGATGGCTCAAAATGCTGGAGTAGAAGAGCAAATAAAATGTCCCTCACTTCCTCAGTTCCAACCTCACGTCTTTCATGTGGTCTCAGCTGTGTGCCTGTAGCCAATTTGGAGAGAGAATGGGGGGTCCCAATCCTGGGATACTTGCCTAACCTTCTCAGTCTTGGCAGCCAATATTAACCTAAGCCTCAAGGGACTGCAGAGAGCCTCCCTCTTGCAGTTGAAGAGGAACCATAAGATCCCCAGATGAAATTAGACTCCAATAAGATGGGCAGCCAATAAATTTGATAAATAAAAATTTGTAGAGGTCCATTCAGTCCTATGAAGCTTCAGGAGTCACGTTATTGTCTTTCACTATAATGCTGAGCTACAGTTCAGAGAATAGAATAGACTGGCTGAATTCACAACAGGCTCTCATCTAAAAGCCAAATTATGGTATTATGAATCCAACCGGGGTGTTTTTAGTACCCACATCATTAGGAAAATGACTAGTTGGAGTGTATGACAAAAGGCTACACACCTTCACCAAGTCATCAAAATCCCACCAATGTGCCTGTTTGAAGTTCTGCAGAATCTCTCTTTGCTCTCTTTCTCTCGCTCTCCCTCCCTCCCTCTTTTCCCTCCCTTCCTCTCTCTCTCTGCCTGCAAATGAAGCACCACAGAATTGAGCACCAACAGTTTTTTTTCCCCTTTGTGACACTGTGTCCCCAAGGAAACAACAAGCTTTGCCATGGCTACTGTGGGTGATGTCAAAGCCACCAGAGCTTCCTAGGCAGCAGAGAAGGACGAGTTTCAGCTCCACCCTCCATTTGCTTCCTCATTCCTTGGAAGTCTTCTTATAGCTAGCCCAGCAATGCCAAAGAATGCTCTGGTGACCCTCAAATATGGGCCTTATCGAAGCTGTGGAGTGGTGGAGCACAGGACTTTTCGCCTGGAGGGCATGCAAGGTGCGTGACACCCAAAGGGTTCTTGCTGAGAGAAGAATGGTGTATGGAGATTCTCAGTCATGCAAGTCATGGTTGCCCTAAAGTTGCTTGACTTCCTTTGTTTTTCCTTGAAGACATTTTGCTTCTCATCCATTCTTCATCAATAATGGTAGGATGGTGGTGCAGGCAGGGGGAGTGGGGTGGAAAAATTAGTTCTGGCAGGTTGGAAGAAGGGGAACAAGAAGTCAATGCCTGGAGGGAAGAGGTCTGCATGGAAGCTGTCTTTGTGGGTGGCAGAGGCAGGCCACATGTGCCCCCCTAACCCACCCTACAATTTACAGTTCTCCATCATTTTGAGTTCCACTACTGAAATGTAACAAAATCGCTGGGTTTTGGCTGCATGGTGTTTGCTCATTTTGTGATGTTTGAGGTACTTTAGGAATCTCATCCTTCATCCCTGCCATCCCCTCAAAAAGAACAAAAATGGGCTGTCAGATTTCAGTTCTGTCTCACTATAGATGACCTCCTGTGGGCCTTCAGAAGCTAAAGAGTTAGCTTCACCTTTCATGCATTGCCTAGTCCAAGCTGAATAAACCATCTGACTAATAAATCTATCCTTTCCACAGACATCTGAAAATGGTCAATTTTGGGGTGAATTCTCAGGTGAACATCTTGGCTTCTACACTAACCTGACATTGGTTAAACATGCCAATTTCTGTTTGTAATAAGTGAATGAAAATTCACTTAAGTTAAAGGACTTCTAATTCTTTACTTGCTTGCTTCTTTCACTGGATGGAAAAAATGGATGGAAACTAACCAAGGAGAGAACAACCAACCTAGAACTAAGGAGAAATTTCCTGGCAATGATAACAATTACCCAGTGGAAACAGAAGTTGCCTTCAGAAGTTGTGGGTGCTCCATCACTGCAGGGTTTTAAGAAGAGATTGGACAGCCACTTGTCTGAAATAATATAGGGTCTCCTGGTCAAGCAGGGGAGTGGACTGGAAGACCTCCAAGATCCCTTCCAACTCTGTTATTCTGTTATGTTCTATGTTCTTCCAACATTTTTTTTCCTACTGAGAGAAATGCTTTCCCCTGAACTAAACCCAATAAATTAAGAAAGAAATGTGCATGGAATTCTTTTCTTTTCTGATGGAAAATAACTGTGGTGGTAGTTGTTACTAAAGTTTTTGCTTCTTTTTTGGGGAGACTTTATACTGTTTTCTGTTCTCTGTTCTGTTTGATAAGAAGATGAACACTTCAGAAAAGCTTACAACTTTTTGCTGTCTGTGAGAACAAGAAAGTCATTTTCTTTCTGAATTACAAACCATCTGAGCATCTTGCATGTCATTTTGGTGTGCTTTGTGAATGCTTTTAATACTGAACAGAAGGCAGTTGTTATCAACACAAAATATGCAAATTTCTATTTGTATCTTCCACAAAACACCTGTGTCGAACAATGCATGAGGCAGCCTAGGTGAAAATCCCCAAACAAACATGTGTTCAAGAGGGTCTTATTTACTGGGTTCAGCAAGAGTTAGTCCTAGATGAGTGGGTTTAACCTCAAAGGTGTTGCTAGCAAAGAAAATAATTGCTCTGTGGGATCACGAGAGGAAAGTTCATTTTAACTATTCTTCTTTTCATACAACCTACTTCAACCTACTTGGCTGAACCTACAAAGCTAAACAGGGTTGAAACTAGTTAAAAGATAGAAGGGAAATCACCATGAATTACTCACATTGTAGACTGAGATTGGGACACTTTCCAGAAATTAATGTAGAAGATATAAATGCTTCCACATCATTATCAAGGAAGCTACATGGATGACATGTCCATGAAGTCAGACTAGAAGACCTCTGAGGTCCCTTTCAGCCCTGTGATTTTATGTTCTAAGTCATTTTTGACTTGATTTAAGGAAGACTTCATAATCCTTCTTGCTGATGCACATTGAAAACAAATTACCTATTATGCTGAAGACCGTGGACCTTGTTCACTCCTCAAAGCCAAAGCCAAAGCCAACACTTACCACCCATTTCCTCACTTCACTTATAAGGAAAAGTCCTTGCCTTTTCTTATAATAACCACAGTTTTTACACAATTTGTATCTGCTTAGTTTTATTCCCAAGGAACCCATAACATGAATAGAATGGGATGGGATGACTTGGGATAGAATGGAATGGAACAGAACGGAACAGGAATTGGAACAGAATAGGAATTGGAATAGAAAAAGAACAGAACAGAACAACAGAACCTTGTAGATCTTCTAGTCCAACCCCCTGACTAGGCAGGAGACTATACATTTCAGACAAATGGTTGTCCAACATCTTCTTAAAAACTTCCAGTGTTGCAGAATTCACAACTTCTGGAGGCAAGTTGTTTCACTGGTGAACTGTTCTGTCAGGAAATTTCTGCTTAGAGTTCTAAGTTGCTTCTCTCCTTGATTAGTTTTCACCCATTGCTTCTTATCTTGGCTTTAGAGAATAGCTTGACCCTCTTGCCTTTCCTGCAGCCCCTCAAATACTGGAATACCTGCTATCATGTCACCCACAGTCCTTCTTTTCATAAGACTATGAAAATTCTTATGAAAGACTTCTTTTCATAAGACATACCCAGTTCCAGCAACCGTTCTTTATATGTTTTACCCTCTTAATCAACTTTGTTGCTCTTCTGGGAAGTGAACGGTTAGGATGAGGAAACCGTTACCCTAGAAGGAGTTCAATTCTTTCTCAGCTCTTTCCTCATTATTTGTAAGGCACCCACAACTTTTGTGGTTTTATACTGTATCCTGGTTACAGTAAGGATGCTTACTGCCTAACGCAGCTTCATTTGTCCTGCAAAAGAAATTGGAAATTCGATTAATGTTCCTACTGGATGATCTAATTAGACCTTTAGTAATAACAGAAAACTTAATTGGCAGGTAGGCCAAGGTTCATGGTTATGTTAGTTGGCTGCATGTTCACGTATTCTCAGCTCATAAGATAATTTTTAGGGACAGAATTGCCCACAGTATTTTCTGTAACCAGGATAGTGAAACCAGATTCCCTGCAGTAGCATAGAAATTACATGTTAATATACATGTCCAAATGCAAAATGATATGATTTACATACAAATATAAGATAATAAGAGAGCTGATAGAAGCTCAGCTCCAGGAATCTTATAGACTTTTGATCTTCTTTATTTGGGGGAGTAAAGTCAAAGTTTGGGTTTTTTTATATAAAACATTAGGGAAATTTATGGATTTTTTTTTGTAATGCTTGATGTATACATAAATGGGCCTATAGGGTAGATGTAAAATCGGAACAAGAATACCAGCCCATGCCCAACCTGAAATTTTATCAAGGAATATATATAAACCGATGTATGTACATGTGTACGTGTATGTGTATGTGTCTACACACACACACACAAAAAAAAAACTTACACGCACACACATACACAAACACACAAAAGCAAGAGGACATGAGTCCTGTCCTATCCGTAAAAGCCAGCTGGCTGACTTTAGGCCAGTCACTCTCTCTCTCTACCAACTTACCTCACAGGATTGTTGTTGTGGGCAAAACAGGAGGAGGGAGGTGTGTTGGATAACTACAATCGAGGGGGGGGAAAATCAATATTTTAAATGGAAGCTGAGAAAAGAATCATCCTATGGATTTTGAAGCAATTAGGAGAGCATTGGATCAGTCACATTAGATTTTGTCAGATCTGATGAGCCCTGGAGAACTGAGAATTTTCTGATTAAAGAAAATTTCCCTTAAATTTCCCAAAGGTGAACTTATCAGGAATGTGCCTTAAATTTTAGGCTTTATTTTTGCAAGAACTTCCTGGCCAAAATTCAAATTCATTCTAACAGCATAGATACAGTTAAAATGCAAAATGAAAAACGTTTATTATACTGTTATTGAAAAGTATAATATAAAATTGTTACTGGCATCCAAAGACAAATGCCATATCTGCTCGGGCCTTATTTAATCATTTTTATGAATTTTTAAAAATTAAATCACCAACTAGCTGGAACTTTCTGGTTGACGCTAAAACATTCACAATTTGATTCGATCCATACAGATCAATTCCTAATATTTTTGGAAAGGATTTTGATGACTGCCTTGTTGCTGGTCCTTAGTTCACACAGAAGTCCTAATAGACTTTTCACAAATCTCAAATAGCATTATGAATGTAATAGGCTTCAATTATAATTTGACCTGATTGTCATCAATGCCAATCCGAGGGTGGTGGTGGTGGTGTTATCTCTACTGGCATTCTCTAGATAATTTAGTATACTATATATATCTTGTTGTTGTTGTTATTGTTGTTATTATTTTGGGGGAAGCAGAATAGAAAAATGTTACCAGACAGGGAGAAGTGGCAGCGCCGGGGGGGGGAGAGTTTATTTTTTGCATTCTGCTGATTGCACAGGCCCATTAAGTCTCTCCAGAAAGCACTAAGCACATCTTAGGCACTTCTCCCAGTCTAGGGAAACCTTTGCCCAAACTTCAAGAGCCTCATTAACTGGACTTCTTGCTGGTGGAATTTGCTGTCATTCATCAAGAAGCTAAATTAAAATTCAGTCTGAGGACCAGGGGGCAGAGGGAAGCCACAGCTGGCTTGTAGAGAAAGGCTGAAGTGGACCTGTACTGGCAGATAAAAGTTCCCGCAATTGTGAAGTTCTCCAAAGAAGGAAAACATTATGTCTGCCTCTAAAAAAGAGCAAAACCAGTATGCTCACATCCCCCCCAAATTAAAGAGAAAATACCATATCCATTCAAAAATGTGAACTGGGAACTTTTACATCAACAATTGGAACACATGGAATTTGAGGATAAGTTTATAAACACGATTAGAGAAATATATACAAATCAAAAAGTCAAAGTAATAATTAATGGTGAATTAACGCAAAGTATAGCAATACAGAAAGGTACAAGACAAGGTTGCCCCCTTGTCCCTGATGGGTAGGATTGCAGTCATAAAGATGAATGTCTACCAAAATTTATTTTTCTGTTTCAGAACATTCCCATTAAATTAGAAAAAGGTTTTTTTAAAGATTTTAAATCAATTGGTTTCTAAATTTATATGGCAGGGGGAAAAAACAAGAATAAAACTCAAAGCTATGCAAGATACTAAGGAAAAAGGAGGATTTGGCATACCAGATTAGGAACTTTATTATACTGCGGCCACTCTAACATGGTTAAAAGAATGGATAATGTTGAGAAAGAAAAGATTAGTCAAATTGGAAGGTCATGACCTCCAAGCAGGGTGGCATACCTTCCTGGTATAAAAAGGAATCTGCACATAAATATTTTTAAAAGACACTACATCAAACACTCCCTGTTATTAGTATGGAACAAAATTAAACACGACCATTATACTGAAATAGCCATTTGGCTATCTACAATGGAAGCATACACACATCCAAATTTAATTAACATGGAAAAAATTGTCACATACAAAGAGTTATTGAACAGACAGGGGAGCTAAAAATTAGACTAGAATTGGCATCACAAGGGGTACAACTAGAATGGTGGTCTTATTTACAGATACAATCAAGGTTTGCACAGGATAGGAAAAAGGAAGGTATTGCCAAAGATTACTCAATATTAGATAAACTTCTGATAGAGACAGAAGACAGGTTGATCAAAGTGCTGTATAGAGTTTTGCTGGAATATAAACTTGAGGAAGAACATGTCAAAGAAACTATGGTCACCTGGATGAAAATTTTTGGTTATAATGTGGAATTGGCTAAATGGGAAAAACTTTGGAGACTTAAACTAACAATGGCCCCAGCTTATAAAGAAAATCTGTATAAGATGTTCTACAGATGGCATCTTTCTGCAGCATGGTTCTCCAAAATGTTTAAAAATTTGGCCCCAAGTTGTTGGAAGTGCAAAAAAACCCAAACAAACACCAGGCACTTTTTATCATAGGTGGTGGACATGCAATGAGGCAAAAAGATACTGGAAAATGATACAATCATGGTTGGAACAAATGGTGGGAGATCAAATTTTGTTCAAACCAGAAATTTTTCTCCTAGGCATAAATACCGGAGGGGTATAAGAAAGATGTGCTTTATCTAATTATACATATACTAACTGCAGAACGTATAACTTGTGTACAGTATTGGAAAAAAGAAAATACACCACCAGAGTTAAATATACTTAGGAAAATTTTGGCCTATGAGGAAGCAGATAGGCTCACCCTTGAACTAAAAAATAAAGGGGAATCAGAATATTTTGAAGTCTGGAACAGATTCTATTATTGGTATAAGACAAAGTGACAAGACTGGAACAAACTGTAAATAATGTGATTGGATAGAAGGATAGATAATGTATTAAGTAGGCTACCAGTTACTGGATGAGATTATTTGTATATAATGTAATTGTATGGTCACTTCGCCCTTGTGGTGCTGCACTGTTTTAAATGTAAAAACAATAAAAATATATATTTTTTTAAAAGAAATAAATCAATAAATTGGTGTGTGCATAAGTGTACCATCATGCCTACCATCCCTGTCCTACTGTCCCCATTTACTTGTACTCATTCCTTGTTCATGTCCATGTTTATACTTATACCTGTTATCTAGTACATGTTCGACATATTAAATAAATTAAATAAATGTATGTATTGTAGGAACAGAAACCAGAAAGAGAAAAGGCTGGAGTAAAAATTAAGAGTCCTTCTATTAGCAGAAGGCTGAGGAAAGAAAGTCAAGTTAACTCCTGACAATGTCTAAACAAAGGTCTATTTCAGGGAGAGACCCTCAAGGTGCCGCTTTAAAAAAAATCTGCTTTGTTTGGTTTTGTCTTTGCTGCGTGAACCTGCTTTTAAAATTCTTTGACTAGGCAAAAAAATAAATAAATAAGCAGCTACACAAACCATAGTTCTCTGTAAGGTATGAACTATGAATAAGACAATTTAAAGCCTGTTGAACTTGGCATGGGAGAAACCACAACCAGAATTTCTCTTTTCCAGCTCAGGTAGGAAGCAGTGAGGATTTTCTGAGAGTCACACAACTCTCCAATGAAGACATGTTTTGTTGAGTCTTTAATTTAGAAAAAGCAAAGGAATGGGGGAGACTTAAAGGGAGTCGGCCCAGGGTGGGGAAAATAAGGCTCTATTATTGTATTGTCAGACAGTCAGTCAGGTGTCTAGATTGGATTGGGCAGCTTTGTCCACCTATCGAGTCCTTCCAAGGACCCGGGAGAGGCAGATGTGGTTGTGTGATGGAGCTAGAGGCGTCATCGCAGGATGGAAGCTGTTCTGAGTCAAGCTGCCTTTTGCAATTGACTGGTGGTGATTTTGCCAATGCCAATGAAGGTGTTCCAGTGGTGGTGTTCCAGACGTTTTTGGGATTGCGCCCAAGGCCCCTATGACTCTGCCTTTGCTTTCTTTGGCCGCAGTTCTGCTTCAGTTTACAGGTCTCTGTCATCATTGTCATTCTTATTAATCTTGCAATTAAATCTTGTGAAATCTTCATGTACTGTGGTTGTCAGCTTTGGGAATGAACCCTGTTTTCTGCCTGCTCTACTTTCTCTGCAGCCGTGTTAAAAAAAGATGGGCATCAAATTGTTCTCCAGCAAATTCCCGATTGGAATGAAGTGCAGCTGATTGTGAACGGAGAGACCGTCTTCCAGTGCAACATTAATGATTTAGATTTCGGTAAGTGGCCAATGGCTGGAGTACCTCAGAGGGACGCTCTATATACTCATGGCTAAGAAATGATCCATTGATGTGCTATGAATTTCTATCTATTAATCACCATCCCTGCTTGCTCTCTTTCTCTCAGGAGGAGATGGCAAGCTGGACCCTCTTTGCCAAGAAGCCCGAGAAGCAGTCTTAAAAGCCTACTGAAGTTTTGCTGTGCTTTGTTTTTTTAAAAACCCATTTCTCATGAAGGAAGGCAAAAAAAAAAGACTCCTTTTCTACCTTGATGCCAAAACAGTACGGTCTCCAATTCACTAATCACTTCTCTGTTTTATATCTAATTATTTAGAGCCTGTTTGTCCTTGTGCTTTTCTATATTCGTCTTGATCTTCTGAAGTGTTCCTCACCTTCTCGAATCACCCACGCCCCTCTGCCCACCCCCTGGCCACAGAGGGAGAGCAATGATCAAAGCTGCATTGCATGGCTTAGTTGTGTGTTGAAGCTTTCCGAGAACCACCTTTCTACTGCATTCTTGCTATATGGAGAGTATAGAGGGATGGGTGGCAAATAAATTCAATAACATATAAATAAAATAAAACAATTGCATCCCTCTCCCTACTTCAAGTACTTAAAAAGTTCAAATCACCAGTTTTTCATATCAATCCAAAACGATCATATTCTAGGTAGCAGCATGAAACTATAGGAAGGGAGACTTCCAGGGCTGAATTGCAAGCATAATAATCACTCCTGACTATGGCAATAAAATTATTTGCTTTATCTCTTTCCGTGATATGTCATTAGCTGTAGCCACGAATTTGATAGAGCCTCTTGTGTTACTACTAGGACTTTGCCAACAATGTAAGGTATGCTTTGTATTAATGACAATCTACTCATATCCTGTCCATTTCTTTTGAATTAGCAGAGTTCATGAAAAAGGTTTTTCTTTCCTGTGTGGAATAGGATCACCGAGAATCCGCAGCATATTTCCCTGCTGCTAAATGTGAAGCTATTCATGATCTATGCTTCTCAATCATCCAAGTCATGGTTGTCCCAAAGGTGCTTTTTCCCAGAATGCAAATGGACTTACTTGGGTTTTTTCTTTGAAAACATTTTGTTTCTCAGCCAAGAAACTCCTTTATTTCTGAACCAAGCAAGTCCAGTTGCCTTCTGGAAAAAGCAGGTTCAATAGCTCTCTCTCCCAAGGGAGAGTCTTAAAATACACTAGTCCAGTTCAAGGTTTGACTTTTCCCACTTGAAAGTTTATCCAGGCCCAAGACAGGATCATTTGTGGTTCAAGGAATCACCCATCTGGTCTCTTCTCTGAATTTCCATCAACAGGTGAGGAGGCTCAGCTTTCGTCTCATTTTAGAAGAAAGGCCAACAAATGATACAGAGAACTGAACCAAAAAGCAGCTTAATGGACTCCTAGACTGCCTAGAAAGGTGACTTTTGGGGTGCTGTTTAAACGATTGTGAGTCGACAACTGAGATATTGATATTTCTCCTTCAGAATGCTAAGTATCACAGGAATCCTGAAGAATTCGGAAACTTTTTAAAAATAAAACACGAATAAAGGATTCTTTCTACTAATTTGTAGGTTTTCTTTAAAATGGCCTGAAGGTTCAGAAAAATAACACCCGGCAAACCTATTAACTTTACTGTAGTTATGTTGGTATAAAAAATAAAACTAAATTTGTTCAAAATATGTTCTCTGCGTCGCAATTCTCCCAGGATTAAACTGCAAAGACTTCAAATCAAATCAAACTATAGATGGAATAACAACAACAACAACAATAATGGAGGTCAATATTTTGGCGAGCAGGATGCTAGGATCAATCCATAAAGATGAGATTGTCATAAAACCACAAATAAACCAGACTCTTATATGTTATTATTTACTTTTCATATCTTGGATACATTTATTTTTAAAGCAGAAGGATCTGACCCACAAACAACAATAGCGGAAAGCCATGCTTTCAAATTTTTGTCTGTATGTTAATTTGACCAGTTCCAGCTACAAGAGCATTTATTACTGAAAGGAAGACAGAAAATATTTCAAGATCCACTGAGATGATCTTTCTTGAGAAATATATGGATTCACTGTTATTTACGCTGCATTCGGCCATTCTCTCTGAAATGCTTTTTAAAGAAAAGCTCTAAATTCTTTGCTATAACTCAACTTTCTATGCGGTTGTGAAGAGTCAACACCAACTTGATGCCACAGAGTCAAATACTGGCAGAATATTTCTGATGCATCCTATTTTATTATTTTTATGATTACCACCATGGTTACATTTTACAATATACAGGGCAACATAACTTTGGCCAGCTTTCTTGGCCCTTTATCAAAAATTCCAAGCTAGGTTGCAAGATGAAGTGTTGATATAGTATGCCAGAATTACTCCACAACCCTATTTTTAATATATCTGCATCTTTTTCGTTTACAACCTTTGCCGATTTTGTGAATTCTGATGATGACACACACAGTAAGTGCATGGTTTTCTCTCAGCACAACCCTAAGGAGTAAACTAGGTACCTAAAACAGAATTTTGGCTAAATCTATATCTTGTTTATACCTACAGGAAGTTAACAAAGAAGGAGAGATCACTAGAAACGTTGGCAACTACTGGCCAGTCTTAAAGCAGAAGACTTGGGCTACTTCTCTCCGCTAAGAGGTAGCAGTGCTGTAATTCTTAAAGCCAAATTAACAGAATCAGAAGTTACTTCTAACATTTACACCATACATACATCTAGTTTGACATTCTTTTGAAGAAGCTGACTACTTCCCTGCCTAAAAAAATGAAACCCTCAACTAGCTTTCACTCCCTTTTTATCGTGACAGCCTTCCTTCCATAAATACATACATTCTAGATAATGGAGCAAGGGAACCCATGTCAAGGGTCAAAATGTCTTCCCTTCAAACACCTCCAGGTTGAAGGCTGTATCCAAAAATCTTCGGAGTGAGACGAGATGAGTGTTTTTGTTACCTGTGGCTGGAGCAGCAGCTGGTTCCCGACCAACATACCTTAAGATACAAGAGGAAATAAATGAGAGATTTCTCTGAAGTATGTGTGGATGTAATACTATCTACTAACACTATAATTTCCGTTGAATGGTTGATTATACAAGAGATAACTAGCAAGCCTGAATAGCTGTCTGCTACAGCATCCACATCTCACATGGGCAACTAGAAGTTCAGACAACATTTACCCAGCTCTATGAGCAAAGTGATCTTCCAAATTTTTTCACTCTATTTTCCAAAAAGCTTTCAGATCCCTATGTATATCAGTGCTCCAAGCAGATTCCCCCATATGGTCTATTTAGGTTCCATAGGGGTCCACTGATTCTGCTTAGAAGAAATGCAACTTACTGGCTGAACATGCTCCATGAACTGCAAATTTCAGGCTTACTGCCTGATGCTAAATGATTTTCGGGTGATCCCTGATATCCAATGCAAGCATTGTTACCATATAGGTCGAGTATGATTGACGATAGTCCGGAAACGAGGTTTGACATAGTCATAGTAGCCTATGTTCTTATGCTCTTCTTGGCACCAGACAAGTTCGGCTTTAGCATACTTCTCAATTTCCTCTTTTAACAAATCAAAAGGAAATGGTGAGATCTAGAGGAAAAACATCAAAGAACCCTCTGAAATATAAAGAAGTCACATTCTGCAGCTGCACATCTCATTCCCCAAATGCTTTACTACGGGATCTCCCATGCACACCAACAGGGAAGCTTGAAGGTTTTGTTCGATCTATGAATCAAAGCGAACCAAGCAGTCTGCAGTTCTACCAGAGATGTGAAGATTACGGTGGAGTTATTTGTTATATCCTTCCAAACCTCCACCTGTTAGGATGGTAAGTGTGAGAACATGCTTGAAAATGCAAATTAAAATAGGAATGTTGGTAACGATTTTTGTTTAAAAACTTGGTAGTTGTTAGATCTCAGATTACTACAGCAGGCTTATGAGGCATGGAATTCTACAACCTGCTGGAGCACCTCGTATGTGATTTACGACATAGACTGAGGGGAGGGGAAAAATGGGCAAAATTCAGTCGTAACTTACATGAGGTCAGATCTGACTCCACACAAGTATTGCCAAAATGTTGTTCCTAATAAATGACTGGATTTCTTTGAAACTTGGCTTAAGGCTCATAAGTTAATTAGGGCATCTTTCGGAAACCTGACAGAGAGTCAGAACTCCTTTTAAAATCTATCAAGGTTACCGGGCTTTCTGAATCCTGGATTCTCGCTCTTTGCTTAAAATAGTCATTAAAAAAAGAATAAAGCAAACAGGATTTCCTTCAAAATAACTTCTGATCATACATTTCAGATGACCACACAATAAACCAGACTGAGAACTGCACCAATTAAGACTGCAAGTAAGACCCCCCAAGATGGGCATTGAGAGTCATTGGAAGCAGGAGGAAGAAGGTGAGATTCAACACACACACATACCCAGCCTCCAATGGTGAATTAAGGAGGGATAATGGTCCCTCAGACTGTTGGGGCCCGGACTATAGTTTGAAAAAAACATGAACAAATTTCTATGAACACTGCACATATCTTCATTTGTAGTGCAAAAAGCATGAAATAATACAATATTTAAAATGAAGAACAATTTTAACCAACATAAATATACTACTAATTCAGTGGGAAGTGTGGGCCTGCTTATTTGGGATTACAGGGCCAAAGGTCTTTTAAGCCTGGAGGAGAATTCACAAACTAATTTGCTTTTTGCCATACTTGCGCATGCGCATATACACACATGAATATCTACCAAAATTGTTTAGCAACCAATTTGTTGGATGCACTTTATATATGGGAAGAATCAAAGCAATAGGTTTCTCCTTCAGGCATTATACTGTGCTTGCATTTGAATTAGTATTAGCCATCTTCAGCTGATTTTGAAAAAGCTAGGAGATGTGGAGACATATCTCCCTCCCTCCCTTTTAAAGTGTTACTTTAAAAGTATCCCCTTCCCGACTCACCCACCAGCCCTAGATCACATGGCTGTGAAAAACATCTGAAAGGCTGTTTTTAAAGTGTTTTTAAAGACTTTTAAAGCACTACTTTACAAGCTGGCAGCTGCTTTTCATTCCACCACTTCACGGGCCACATACTTTGCATTGGCGGGCCATATCCAGCCCGTGGGCCATAGTTTGAGAATGCCTGCCTTAATAGCAAAATTCCATACAGAAAATCCAAACAAGCCTGGGGGGGGGGGGCACATCCCTAAATTCTATACCTGTACTCAAATTGTTTTTGCTTCACATAGGAAGTGAGGGGAGCCAAATATCAACTCATAAAGCATTTCCATGTCTGTTATCGAGTTGCCATGGGAGGAAAGGGGGGAAAGCATTACACACATACCTTCAACTAGAGTCGGATCTCAGATTACTACAGCAGGCTTGTGAGGCATGGAATTCTACAACCTGCTGGAGCACCTCATTGTATAATGTGATTTATGACACAGATTGAGGAGAGGGGGGAAACAGGGGCAAAGTAATTGGCACACTGGGTGCTATTCCAAAAGCACTGGAATTACATTTAAAACAGTTAAAAATTGACAAAATCACCATCAGTCAAATGCA